ATCTTGAAAAACATCCGAGGTAAGTTAAGTTTACTGTTCTGGAAACAGAGTCAACTAGAAATGAAAGTGAATGTATAAAAAACATTACAAGTTAGGCCTACATTAGGCCTAACTCGCCTTTTAACTGCAGCCTGTTAAATCAGTTCTATTACTAGGTACAGTTCCGCAGAGAACTTGCTAGGTATATATTATTTGTTTAAATCTAGATTTTGATTTGGATCGATATTAAAATGGCATCAAATTAAATTTTACCATATGACATAAATTAAAACAACAACAACATTAACTTAATAAAGTTGTTTGTTCATTTTATTGGTACTTTGATACTATCCGGAGGCCGGCTGCACTTTACTTTAGGTCCTATACTCATTCGAATGAAAATATCTATTAATCGATTGTTTCATTCGATATATCGTTTGGTTAGTTAGGTTAGGTTAACCTTACCTAACTAACCAAACGATATATCGAATGAAATAATCGATATGTCGATCGATATTTTCATTCGAATGAGTGTAGGACCTAAAGTAAAGTGCAGCCCGGAGGCCACCCTTATACAGCGCGCTGCGGCGGTTGTATTAGTTTGGGTTATCATAAATATGTTAGTAGGACTTTCCTCGTTCCGTTATGAATCGAACGATACCAGATGAGTCATACTTTCGCACGCCAAATCCCCTCCAAGTAGGCCAAGGTCAGGTCGTCACCTGTTACTGCCTGTATCTGAGGTATTCGGTGGGCGAAAGTAAAACTCATCTGGTATCGTTCGATTCATAACGAAACGAGGAAAGTCCTATTAACATTTATGATAACCCAACCTAACATATAACATAGGCCTAAACCCAATACATACCCCATACAGAACAACTTAAAAATTATTTGTTTTTTAAGCTCTTAAAAAAGGTCTAGAGAGAAATTGGGTAATTTTGTGTGTAGGCCTAGAGGGTCAAAAATTAGAAAACCCATTTTTTACCTCATAAAATCCCCGTAAAACCCCGTTCCCATGGTCTGATCATGCTGGTTCGCAAACTCATTCAAATTTATCCCACCTTACACCTTTAATCCAAATTTGATCAAAATCGGACAAAAATTACTGAACTTGACTGACTTATATATACAGGGTGTTTTTTTTTAAACTTGCATCTTTATTTATGTAAAAACCGCGATAGATAGAAATATGCAGTTTGCGGGAATCATCTATTGACGTAGGGGGCCCAATTTTTTTTTAATTCAACGTTACATTCACATTCCCCCACTTTCCCCCCCTTCCACCAACTTAATTTTTTTAAATAGAAAGGTACCCCTTGTGACATATCAAATAAAAGAGCATGAAAAAAGAAAATGTTTGATGAAAGAAAATTGAAAATCGGTTCATAAATTTGCGAGATATATCCCTCCCCGGAACTTTTTTTTTTTTAATCGCAAGGTACCCCTTGTGACATATCAAATGAAAGAGCATGAAAAAAGAAAATTTTTGGTGAAATTTATTTTTCATTTGATTGGTCACAAGGGGGGGTACCTTGCTATTTTAAAAAAAGTTATGGGTAGGGGAAAAGGGGGGGGATTATCTCACAAATTCATGAGCCGATTTTCAATTTTTTTTCACCAAACATTTTATTTTTTCATGCTCTTTCATTTGATATGTCACAAGGGGTACCTTGCTATAAAAAAAAAAAAAGTACCGGGTGGGGAGGGGGGGAATATCTCACAAGTTTATGAACCGATTTTCAATTTTTTTTCATCAAACATTTTCTTTTTTTATGCTCTTTCATTTGATATGTCACAAGGGGTACCTTGCTATTTAAAAAAAATAAGTTGGGGGAAGGGGGGGAATGTGAATGTAACATTGAATTCAAAAAAGTTGTGCCCCCTACGTCAATAGATGATTCCCGCAAACTGAATTGGTATTTCTATCTATTGCGGTTTTCACATAAATAAAGATGCAAGTTTAAAAAAAAAACACCCTGTATATATAAATTTGAATGAATAGTGTTTTTGGCCTCTGGGGACATCAGAATTAAAAAGCAAATCGGTCCCGGGCCTAGGTCTTACCGTGCCACCTACGGTAATAACTACTTCCCTATAGGGAAATTCGCTAAAAAACTACTATTGTAGATTACTATTGTAGACTACTATGTTTATAAAATTGTTTGAATTGATAAATAGAAAAAAATAAGCTAAAACTGAAACGGCTTTCCTCATTTGTTGTTATGAATAATTTTATCCGAGTCATTGTCATTTCTAAGGTGTTACAACTCTTAGGCATAATATCATTACTTTTGAACTTTGACCTATAGGCTACCTTAAAAATCTATTGCAAATATATCGCATCCATCTATTTATCCTCAGGATTGGTCTGGCAACCTTAGCATTAAGTAACCAAAAATATAATCTTCTGACTCACTGTCTCTGCCAAGTTTCACATAAGATTTTTCCATCAGAACATTTACATCTGTGAACCGGTCACTTTTAATCATAGTTTTAACAGGATGTGATCGGCTAGAAATAATAGCTGAGGATGTTTTTCTAAACTTAACTCTATTACTCTCGGTTTCAAATGATAAAGCTTTAAATCTGTTTACGTAATAAGTTTTAGAGCACTTATTTTTATCTGGCCAAATCATCCGGTCAGGCCTTCGGTTGGCTGGGTGAATAAATGATAACTCTGTAGCCTATAATGTACTTAATAAGTAACAATTTTTTGGTTTTGTACTCTTAAAATAATAGTCATATATTTGTATAATTTATAACATCGAGTTTAATAATATTAATTTTTCCATTAAATTTAAACAATGATTACAGTTTCTATAATGACGTGATAGTTTGTAGGCCTAATATTAGCTGAAAGACTTAAACATTGTTGTTTGTGTAAACGGCAATAAACAAATCAATCTGTAAACAGGCCTAAAGAGTCATTGTTGGCATATAACATAACATATTATTTGATTTGATTTGATTTTAATACATTTTCAATTTATAGAAACTAAATTGTATACATTTGATTAGAGTTAAATTATTGTAAATTACATCCTCGATATTATCTTCAATGGAGATTCAGCATTTGAATGTTAGGTGACCTCCAAACCTCTGGTATCTTATCAGTACCCCTTCAGTTGAGATCTCAGCATAGTCATGTCACAGTTCATTTACTATTTAAACGTACGAAATGATGACTCCACTGATGGTAATGTAATAAAAAACAATTATCGTTTGAAGTTTATAATATGGTGTAGCTAAGTGTTTCAGAGACGAAGTATTTTTAATTTTTATTTTTGCCACCTTAAGTTGTGTTTATTTTCTTCAATACCGATTTTAATTTTATACTTAACTAACTGTTACCCTTAATAAATAACCATAAAATCTCATTGGTTAGCCATGTTTGGACACAGTTAAATTTTCACAGGGATAATATAATCCAATTATATTTAGTCAACTTAATTTTACTCCTCTATCAAATCCTAAATCCTAGATAGCGATACAGGTATCAGCAATTGAAAATGTTAATAACTCTGATTATCTGATAACGTTAAGATAACCTATTTTGAGAGGTGATCCTGTTAAACAAAATATTTTTGTGTTATTTAATCTTGTTTTAAGTCTTGAAAGATGCAACACACACATAAATTCAATGGCATATTAAGAGGTAAATAATTGTACCCATGTTAAGTATCATGGGTTTTGTTAACCCTTTAACAATTTTGTATTAAAAAAAGCTTTGATAAATAGCTACGATTACATTCATTAGTAGTTTTACTAGTCCAATATAATATGACTATAGTGTAATATCGGGAATTGGAATTCTGTAGGCTCTTTAGCTAGTGTTGAGTACATGAAATAAAAATTCCTTCTGGTTGAGTAAAAAGGGCTTTTGTGTTCACTGTTTGTTGTGGTAGCTTTAGAGTACTTTTTCCACCCCGGTTCACACCACATTGAGAAGCGAGAGTAAAGCTGGTTCAAAATGAAAACAACGTTATGCCACTGTTGTATTTTCATGTTTGTTTACAGTGGGAGCGATGACGCCGCAACTGTCACCCGTCGAGGAGCAAGACAAGTTACTGGAGGAGGCCCTGGCCGTAGTGAAGGTCCAGGCATTCCAGATGAAGAGATGTCTGGACAAGAGCAAACTGATGGACGGGCTCAAACACGCCTCCACCATGCTGGGCGAACTACGCACCTCTCTGCTGTCTCCCAAGAGCTACTACGAGCTTTGTATCCTTTGGTAGCAAATGTCTAAACTATAGATGGTAGTCATCCCTTTCTCATCTTTGAGTAGCCTTGAATAAGAACAATTGTACAGTCTCGTTCACGCGTCACAGAGGCTAGGATGGATAACCTTTTTAGTCAAAATTCATGTTTTTGGCCACTGGACTATATTGTTAAGACAATAGGTTTTACATACCTCCGTCAAAGCTTAGTCCAATGATCCAAACATAGTCCAATGATTAATATTTGCAACTCATCAAAAACACTATTAAAGCAAAGACAACACAAACCTAAAAATCATTAAAATGATACGAATAACTTGCACAAACATTAAGATAACGCACACAATAATACTGATTTAGTCCGGCACAACGCGGGGCTGGTAGCAGACTCGGACACGTTACTGAGTGTGTTAACTGTTAACTGTTAATTTGAGGGGTGGCAGTTAGTACATTTTTGTTCCCAGGGTTGTTACCAGAGTACTAGCAACTAGGCCTATGCCATTTCTGTTATATATTGGCAGCTATTTTAAAATTAAAATTATCAAGTGCTCTTCCAGTATGATGTATTGTTTATGGTCTCTGTGCTTGTTGGTTTGTTGTTTACTGAGCCAATAAATTAAAAGGTTGGCACTACTGGTGCGATTCAAAGCAGACGTGCGCGATTGCAAGCTCCTAAATATTCTTCAATTTTCACAATTTAACGACATTTTATCAGTAAATCTGAGTGAAATCCGGTTATGTTGACTGATTTACACGGAGTGATAAGCTAAATTTACCGCAAACCGGCAGTAAACAGCAGTTATAAGCGATAAGTGGTGCGGCAACGTGGTCTCGGCTAAACCAGTGTGGACTCGATAGTGGACAGTGAGTGACTAGTGGATTTACCATCTAATTATTACAATTGTAGTGCGTGTTAAGTGGTCATATGACAGAATCAAAAATCGATAAATATTTTACACCAGTAAATAGGTCATTCAAACGACAGAGATCTTATTCGTCGCCGGAGTGTGCAGACGACGTCGAGACGGTAACGGCCAACATGGGCAGCGAAGAAAAGGTAGGCGATATTACACGATCCCAACTTCTGAAGGACTTGGGCCAGTTGCTTGATAGTAAATTAGAAAATATGGCAACCAAAAAGGAGTTCTCTCAACTCACGGGGCAAGTGTCGGAGTTACAAAAGGAGAATATTGTACTAAGGAAACAAATAGAGGACTTACAACAGAGAGAGAGTGTGGTTATGTCTAGGTTAGTCGATCTTGAAGGAAGATCTAGGCGTAACAACCTCATATTTAGGGGGTTGAAGTGGTCCAAGGAAACTCGTAACTTCAATGAAATCGTGCGAAAGTTTTGCAACGATGTTTTCGGGAGTGCGGATACTATATTTGTAAATAGAGCCCACCCTCTAGGGGGAAGTAACAATGCAATCATTGCACACCTACCAAATGACGCCGACATCTACTATATTATGTCACGTGTAAGAGAGTTAAAAGGCACCGGTTATTCAGTGCATAGAGACTATCCTAAAGAAGTGCGTGAAAAACGAGCATGTCTGTCAAAGCTTAGAGACGAAATTGAAAGTGTGGCGGGGAAACAAAAGAATAAGATATCATTATATTTCGACCATATGACTTTCAAAGGACATCGGTTCACATGGGAGGGAGGTGAACTAAAGGCAGGCAACCAGGATGGTGCTCAATTGTTGCAGACACTCTTCAAACGTGATTTTTCAGACTTCTTACGTGATCTTAAAGTACCCAGATCTACAGTAGTGATGGACATGTCAACAGAGAGGACAACAGCTTCAACAACGCAGGGGTCGGCGAGTGCTACGGGTACGTCGAAGAACGTGTCAGTTTCAACACCTACGCAGTCGCCTCGCGTTTCCAACCACGACAATGAGTGAGGAGGTGACGCCAATCCATCTACAGAGGGACTAACTCCAAACCACAACCCAACGACGACCGGGCTTACTCAATTCAAGGTTTTATCTTATAACGTTTGTGGATTAAAAAATAAGGTAAATGATTTATTATTTTTAGAGTTCATAAAGGAGTTTGATTTAATTATATTTTTAGAGACATTTGTCGCGGAAAATGATCAAGATATTATTGTAAATAGGTTAAGTAACTTTGATTTAACTTTTACTTTCGCAGTTAGAACTGCTAATGTTGGTAGATATTCAGGTGGTCTAGTTTACGCATTAAATCGTAACTCTCATTTTATAAGCGATGTAACGTTTGTAAACTTTGAATATTTTAATGTGGTTAGGCTCGACAATATTGTTGTTGGCTGCGAGCAATTGTTTATAGTGCCTGTTTACCTAAATTTCAATTGTTGGCAAATAGATTATAATAGGCTTCAAAGTTTCTTTGATAATAGCTGTTTCCAGAATATAGTCCTTATAGGGGATTTAAATGGGCGTATTGGAATAGAACAGAGTTTTTCTGAAAATATAATTAGCATTTCGAATAATAGGATTGAGGACATTAGACATTCAAAAGACAACATTTTAAATTCAAATGGGCGTAAAATATTAGATTTGTGTGACAATTTAGGATTAGTAGTTTTAAACGGAAGGTCCATAGGGGACAAAGAGGGTGAATTTACTTTTGTTGGACATAGGGGTAACTCAGTCATAGATATAGCAGCGGTAACTTTTAATTGTTTACATTCGATTCACGACTTCAAAGTTGTTGGTTTTCCCGGATCAGATCATATGCCAATAGAAGTAAGTTTAAATGTTGAGACTCCTGGGCCTGTGGGAGGGGGTGCAGGGGAGGAGAAAATTATACCATTGTTGCCAAAGCTGAAATGGACGAATTTTGATTGTCTGAACTATACTAGCAAAGTTGAGGAAAGTATGAAATCTTTTTCGCCGCAAACTGTTAATGATGTATTAAATGTTATAACTAATTCTGCACATTATAAGCTAGGTTCAAAGAGTAATACACCTTTTGTTGGTAAACAACCTTGGTTTGACTATCACTGTTTAAACGCCAGAAAGAGAGTGTTTAAACTGTTACAGCTTTTTAGACAAACCAATTCAACTGAAATAAAGGCTAAGTATGTTGAGGAGCAGAGGAAATATAAACAGCTATGTACAGGAAAGAAGAACGAATACAACTATTCTTTAATCTCAACTCTTACTGTGTCTAAAGATTCCAAAACGTGTTGGCGAGCAATAAACTCGTTTAAGTGTAAAAACAACATAAACCGAGTAGGAAATATAAAACCTGAAGAATGGGTTACACACTTTAAAACTTTACTAAATCCTCTGGTGGAGAGTACTATCTCGTTTGCAGAACCTTTTATTGCCGATGATTATCTTGATAAAGACTTTGATTTCCTAGAATTAAAAGTTGTTTTGTCCAGCTTGAAAAATAATAAAGCACCGGGCCTAGATAGAGTCCCATATGAGTTTTATAAGAATGCCCCAGACCTATTTTTGACTAAACTACTTAGTATTTATAATGACATTTTTCGGAATAAGGTCATACCTGAAAGCTTTAAGAAATCGATAGTTTTTCCATTGTTTAAAAAGGGTGATATTAATTCAGTTCAAAATTATAGAGGATTGTCTTTTATAAATTGTATTGGTAAAATATTTATAGGAATGCTAAATAATAGACTTACAAATTGGGTCAATGAAAACCACATCTTATCGGAGTTCCAGGCGGGTTTCAGACAAAACTATTCCACTATAGATAATATTTTTAATTTGGCATCGATGATCAAACTACGTTTAGCGGAGAAAGGTGGCAAATTGTATGCATTTTTTGTGGATTTTTCAAGTGCGTTTGACACTATTGATAGACGATCGCTTATGTTAAAACTTTCATCAATCGGCGTATCAACGCACGTTTTAGATGTTTTGAGGAGTTATTATTGTAACACATCTGCAGCGGTTTGGTGTAAGGGCGGCATTTCAGATGAGTTTGAGACAAAGACAGGTTTAAGACAAGGATGTATAGGAAGTCCTCTCCTGTTCAGCTTATTCGTAAATGATTTGCCAGAGGTGCTGGAAGGTGGCTGTAATTTCGGTGGAAAGAGAGTAAATGTTTTGATGTATGCAGACGACATCGTATTGTTGGCCCCCACAGCAACAGCATTACAAATGATGATTAAAAACTTGGAGTGTTACAGTTCAATTTGGAACCTTACAGTAAATATATCCAAATCCAAAATAATGGTTTTCAGGAAAGGCGGTAGATTATCAGGACATGATAGATGGTGGTATAAGGGCAAACAGGTTGAAGTGGTAGATAGTTATAGATATTTGGGAATGTTATTTACAACGACATTGTCATGGGAAAAACATTTCATAGAGAAGAGGAGGCTAACTAATTATGCAATTAATTCAGTATGGCAAAGGCTAGTAGACAACAACAAAGTCCCGCTGCAGATTAAAATATTATGCTTCGAATCTATTCTCAGAGCTATTTTGTGTTACGGCGCACAAGTATGGGGGTTTTCAGAAATTTCTCAGTTAGAAAATGCTCAGAAAACGTTTATTAAAAGGATGTTTAGATTGCCACATAACACTCCCAACTATATTGTTTACTTAGAAACATGTTTTGAAAAGTTGTATTTCTTTAATCTACAAATTAACGCAACATACATTTTTAAGGTTTTTAATATGCCAGAATCACGCCTACCAAAAATTATTGCTAAATCTGTAATTGGAAAAGGTATTTTTTGGACCAAAGAGTGGAAATGTCTAGGGCGAAAACACGGTTTGGATATTAATTTCGAGTCAGCAGATGTTTTTGAGGGATTAGTGAAGATAATTGAGGCGGAAAGAGATAGCTGGAGAATTGATATGGTTGGCAGAGCGCGTACATCGCAATATCACCAACAACTGCTTGCCGTTGACCTTGACCTAGGGCCCAGGAGTTTTCTCACTGATAGCATCAATATAAGTCTTATCTCATGGGTCATTAAGGCCCGAGCAGAGCTGGTTGATTTGAATCACAAACCATGGATAACGAATAAAAATCATTTCTGTAGTTTGTGCAATTTGCGTGAATTTGAAACAGTTTTTCATTTTGTTTCTATTTGCCCAATTTTAGGTGATATCAGGGAGTATTGGTTTGGAAAACGAAGCATGCATTGGGAAGAACACATAGAATACATAAATGGTAGGGATTGGCGTAAATTAGCAAACTTTATGAGGGAGGCGTGGAGAAGGAGGTGGGAGTTAATTAGAGAATTTAATTACGAATAAATTAAATGATTTTTTTTTTTTTTCAAATTCAAAATTGTTTTATTATCTTTCTAATTTATAAATTAAATCAAAACAATAATTATGTCAAACAACTTGTCAGTCTGTCTTCTTAAATATTCATAGTAATTGTTATAGTTTTCATTATGCGTAAACCTTTTAAATTCTAATAATTTAAAAAATAAAATAATAAAAGTTATGTAAACAATATTATGGAAAAGGTATTTTTTTTAGTTTTGTTGAAAATGGATGTAAAATTGTATGTATATTTGTGTATGTTAGTAAGTGTATTTTGTTTCAAGTTAATTTTCATAAATGTGTTTTCCAGGTGTGCCAACCAAACAGACGGTCGTAGACCATTGTTTAATTAAGTGTATGCTTATGTCATGAGAGGAATGTTTATGTTAAAATAAAGCACTTTATTCATTCATTCATTCATTCATTCATTCATAAAAGTGAACTTGTTTGTTTGAAACTGGAGTACCGGTATATATACAAGTTTCAGTATATTTATTAGATAATTAATTTATCTGTTATTTATGTTAAGAGCTTTTATTTTCAAAATAGTACAAAGTATAATTGCTGCTGACAAAACCTCGCACAAAATAGCAGAAACTAGCTACTCAGACATCAATATTGCTGTCCTTTTTTTACAGAAGGAAGTACTGACATAATGGGCTCTGGAAACCCGTTTAAGCTACATATAGTGAACTTATTTTACCTATTTTTCACCTTAATCAATGTTTAGACATGGCAATCACTGATGAACTGAGGCATCTGGAACTGTACCTCCTGGACGAGTTCCAGAAAGGACGGAAAGTCGCAGATCTGTACGAACTAGTTCAGTACGCTGGCAACATCGTCCCTAGGCTGTGAGTTTACTTTGCTTTCAAACTTTAACGTTGAGGAAAAACTGATAAAGTAATAATAAGTATTTTTATATTATCCATATATTTTATATTATAGTTTACCATATTGGTCCATTTAAAAGTTGTAGTCTCGACACCATAAGGGCAGTGCAAGTAGTTAACCAATATTTAATGAAGGGTCCTTACACAAATTGCTTACTTTTATATAGTTCAAACCTTGTTAGCGAGACACATAATCCAATACCCTTTTCCACTTCAAAGATTAAGTACAGCAGACTCCCTCTTACCTGGACACCTTTTAACCGGACATCAGATTTAACCGGACAATTTTGATCAGCACATTGGTTTAACCGGACTAGATCGGCAGGAAGCAGGCAGTACTGAAACGACCGTTCTCTTGGGAAAGATTTGAGAGACAACCACAGAAGGATTCAATGAGTTATAGTTAACATTAGAAATCGAACAGGCTGCGTGGAACAATTATCCAAACCTTGAGCCTTAAGAGCTCAGAATAAGAAAAAAAAAAGATTTGAGACCAGTGATCACGTGTCTAAATACAATGCTCTCCTAAATATAAGTTGAATAACACAGCAAACAGTCCGTTTTAACGAGTTTTTGGGGACATTGCTTTAACCGGAAAACCTGTTATCCGGACTGGTCTCGGTCCCGAGGAGTCCGGATAAGAGGGAGTCTACTGTATGTTTGTTTAAGACAATTATTAGGTGAATAAAACTAATAATTTACAATAAATTAAATTTGTTGGTTGTAGATCTATACTATAAAAAAGTGTTTTACCTATGTAGGTTACAATAATTACTAAAAGTAGTGTAGGTCATTTCAAACCCATTTTCAAAAACTGTTTCGTCTCTTGCTAACATCTGACTGTGGTTAAACATTCAACTGAAGTATCAGCTGTTATTAAACTACAACTCACATATTAAATCTTTATATAGAAGGTTGGGCTGCATAACTGGATCTTTGATAAAGGACTTTAGAAATGAAATGAAAGTGATGGGGAGTGAATCCCTAAAAGAAATGACCTGTTTAATTACCATTCGCAGGTGCACTAGACCGTAAGCATTAAAATGACTCATAAATCGTAAAATCTAGTTAAGTAGGAAGGACAGAAAAGGGATGTTTTAGAGAAAACACTGATTGTATTTGAGTATGTACATAGATAATTTCATTTCATTACATGTGTATTTTTCTGGTTTCAGCTACCTGTTGATTACTGTTGGCCTGGTTTATATCAAGACCAACACCAGTCTAAAGCGAGATCTGCTGAAAGACTTGGTGGAGATGTGTCGAGGCGTGCAGCATCCGTTGCGAGGACTGTTTCTGCGTAACTACTTGTTGCAGTGCACGCGCAACGTTCTGCCTGACAACCCTGACACAACGGGGGACGACGCCGAGGGAACCGTGAGTCAGATTTGATACATAATTGTTTTCTTCCTATTAACTATACTCAAACATTTTTAGCTTGGAACAGAACATTCAGAAATCATTATAAACATCCTCAGTAACCCCTTGAAATAATAAGAGACCTTATTCTTTGACCAGCAACATTCTGAGAATAGTCACAAAATAACACAAGAGAAATGTTCTTGAATTATTTTGAAATTTTCTGGAAATATTCTGAGAACATAACATGGAATTTTCCCAGAATGTTGGACAAGTACCTATGATGTAGAATATTCCATCTAGTTTTCTAAAGCGGAATATCCCCAATATATCAGGTAACCTCCGAAGAATATTGTCTTTGTTTTATGAGTTATTTTACTTTTAACTACCTGTCAACGTAGATTACTGACATTGACTTTAGAATACTGAAGTAAACACTATCTGAGTGGACCATCTCCAGCCAATCTTATACAGTAGACTCCATACTATTAAAACAAACAAAAATATAACAATAACAATCCATTGGTTGTAATTGGTGAAGTAAACAATAGCAATTCTATAGCCTCCCTGTGCCATGATGGACCTCCTCACGCTAAATATCACTGGCCGTCACTGTATAATAACTTGCTTGGTATATTTTTTATTCTTATTGTTTGGTAATTGTGTTTAATCTACTCGTGGATAATTGGGAGTCTACTGTAGTTGAATTTAAGCCCGTAGATATTAGTGAGGTTTCACAAATTTCTCGGAATATTTCAGAATTTACTAATAAGTAACTATTTGACTGTTTAAAACGAAATTCAAAATATTTCCAATGTTTCTGAAGCCATTAAATTTTTCTAACATTTATTTATTGATCTGGTTAGAAACAAAATTATCTTGTCAATACTTTATTTCTTATGTCTGCAACATTGTGTTAGCTGTTATGTCAAATGAGCCATCGATGACATCAGACTTAAGATCATTTTTCTGAAATGCACATCAGCAAAACATAACTTAGTTCATACACAAGTCTGAGACATTATTAGTAGTTGAACAGACTACTGTATGATTACTACTGTATGATATAAATATTTATTTTTATTTATACGTTTGGTGAGTGCAAAACCGTGTGTTAATTCCCTTAAGCTCGTAAAATGATGGGACAGTGTTGTTATTGTATTGGTGGACATGACGAGGTAATTTTGGTTTAATTTAACGTCAATACAATTAGTACTAGGCCTATTTGAAAGTGAAACATCATTAGTTTAATTTATCGGATTCCATGCAAACGCTTAAGTGATTTGTTGCAAAGTAAGTTGAATCTAACTAACTAGATCATAATATTTTGTCTACAGCAGTACTAGTGCTCAAGCCTGCATTCTTTTGTTATGGTAGAAAACCTTTAACCTTGTCAATAATAAAATTTTTAGTAGTTGGTTCTTTAGAGTACGGTACACGTCATACTTCAAAATAATTTTTCCATTTTGACTAAAATTTTTTGAAAGTGTAAGACACACAATCTTGGTGTGATACGGACTGGAAGCCGAGTTTGAGAAATGCTTGGTTATTGGGTAGAAGGAGAAAAATTAAAACTGACACATAATCAGTATCACTCTTCTTATCAGTTAATTTTATCTTTAAAATGAGTTATGTAGATGATAAATTTTGACCGCCATGTAACTATGTGCTGAGTTTGCCGGACTACACTTTATTTAAAATCACATTTCCTATTTTGATAAATATATGTACTTCTTGGCAAGTTCTTGCTACAGGTTAGGGACTCCATCGACTTTGTGCTGATGAACTTTGCGGAGATGAACAAACTGTGGGTTCGGATGCAGCATCAAGGTCATTCACGGGACAAAGAGAGACGGGAGCGAGAGAGAGAGGAACTGAGGATACTTGTGGGTACGAACCTAGTGAGACTCTCGCAACTTGAGTCCATCAACCTGGACAAGTACCGCAAGGTAATTAATTTTACGTTCAGTGTCATGAAAATGTGTAATTGTCATTGGTCAGACAGTTGAGGTATATTTACCCGGACCTCACAAAATAAAATAAATGCCATCTTGGATACAAAGAACTGGCAGAGTAATAAGGAATCTGCCGTGTTGTTGAGGCTCTTTTACTCTGCGGTGCACCACAAGTCGCTAGTTTGCGTGGGGTATAAAAGCTCCTATTTCTGCTATATATTCGGTGCACATTTCTGCAGCTTGTAGCTGCGTCACCGTGAATCCAGCCCGCCGCATAGTATGAAAGCTCTCATTCTTAAAACACTTACCAAGCCACAAGACACAGCAGCATGGTATAGCGTTATGGAGCTTAGAGAAATTGAAGGTTGTTATGTTTTTATTAATTACTGATTCTTCAATTTTTTGAGCTTAAAACAGTTGATTTTTAGTTTTGGTGCAGTCAAACAATTTATTTTTGTACTACTTTTAAAATTTCTAATGATATTTTGTATTAGATATTGTATTTATATTATGTAGGAACGTTGTATTTACTGGCACTAATGTTTCAGCTGGTGTTACCTGGTATCTTGGAACAAGTGGTCAGCTGTAGAGATGCCATCGCTCAAGAATACCTCATGGAGTGTATAATACAGGTAAGTCAAGAAATTCATTATTTTA